GGGAGTTGGGGGTGGGGAGGGTGGCCCCGCCCACCAGGCACTGATTTCCGCCTCAGGGACTCCCCCACCTCCAGGTCTCAACTCTTTAAAGGGGTCACCCAGCCCTCTTTGGGGACCCTGCCTTTCCTGCACTGGCACCCCTCCCTGTGTGGCATGGAGGCCTTTTCCCTCTTGGGGGGACCCACTAGCTCTGAGTGCAGTGAACCTCACTTCTCTGACTCCCCCTGGCATGGAGGGAGGAGACCCTAGGGTACAGGGCTGGGCAAATGGAGAAAGACCCCCCCAACTTAGGACACAGACCTGCCTCCGAGCGTGCGCCCCAAGGTCCTGCTGACCTCAGGGCTGGGGGTGGGGAACACGTGGAGACGCCGAGTCTGACTGGCAGCCACCAGGGTATGAAACGGCTCCTTCCTCCTTGTCCCCAGCTGCCCCGCGAGGTTCTCATGGGAACATTATTCAGGCCCCCCCTCCCCGGAGCAGTGGACTTGGGGCTCCTGTCTCAGCTCCCTCTTCCTTGGGCCTGTAAACTCTTTCATTCATTCATTCATTCATTCATTCATAAAACACCGAGTGAAAGTTGATCTGGTGCCTGCCATTTCTGGTGCTGACAGCGCCCCCCTCCAAGGCTGCCCGAGCCTGGCAGGGTCCAGAGTCTCTGTGTCTGCTCCACCCCCAGACCTGTCTCCCCAAGGACAGCACCTGAGAGGGCTTTGGGGGAGGAGGGAGGGGAGGAAGGGTGCCTCAAGGATCCGCTGGGCTGGCGCATGTACTTAGTGTACTCTGTGCTATGTGGTGCAGTGTCTGTGGGTGGTGGGTCGGGCCTGGAGGAGATGGCTTTGGGGGTGTGGATGCAGAAGTGAACAAGGTGAGGTGGAGACAGATAGGGGGGCCCTGCCTGCTGGGGGGCGCGTGACAACTGCACGAATAGAGGTTGGGTGCTCAGGAGAGGGGGCTTGAAGGACGGAGAAGGGCACCCAGAAGGGAGGGGAGGGCTGGAGGGGTCTCCTGTTTTGGCTGGGGGGCAGCTGGGGAGGCAGGAGGCAGGAGCCAGGGCCAGGTGTGAAGGGACTTGGGTATCACACGGTGCAGGCTGCTCGGTCTGTGCTCAGTGCCATGTCCCAGGTGTCCCTTGGGTAAGTCACCCCCCTCCCCCCCCCAGGCATCAGCTCCCTCATCTGTAAAGTGGGGTTGATAATAAGACTGACCTCACAGGGTTGTTGTGAGGATTAAATGAGGAAATGAGCATTCAATTAACAGTAATTATAACTAGTGTTATTAGGCGGTTCGGGGATGATGATGAAAGTGTCTTGTTCCTTCATTTATTCAACAAGTAGTGACAAAGTTACTACTCCGTGCTGGGCACTGTGCCTGGTAGTGGAGATAGCAACCAACTAACGAAGAGACAAGCCCCGCACAGTCTCCCACGCCTCCGGGAGTAACAGATACGGACGCAGGGGTGATCATTCCCCGTGGGAAGTGCTCTCTCAGGGGTGGGAAGGCCTCCCAGATGTCACATAGTTTCCAAGGAGACAGCAGGGGCCAGGTCAGGGCGTTCTGGGCAGAGGGGACTCCCGAGCAGAGGAGACACAGGCAGCGCTGCCGGGGCCCATGGCGCATGGTGGGCGGGCCGGGGAGTGGCAGGGCTGGAGTGCTTAGGGCCTCTGGCTGCCTAAGGAGGGTGCACAGGGCCGTGGGGGCCATGGTGGTTTTCAGCAGGGGAGGGATGTGGCCGGACTTGGTGTGGAATGGAGGGCGGCTCCTCTCCTGAGAAGAGACCTAGGATCTCACCCAGGCGTTCACTTGCAAGGCAGGCCGGTGTTGGGGCTGCCAGCCCATTGCACAGGACAAAAACTGAGGCCCAGTCCCACCTAAGGCACAGAGAGGACCTCAGCAGTGCGGAGGGGAGGATCTCCATGAGAGTAGGGCCTGGAACGCAGCATCTTGAAGTAGCTCCTGGTGCTGTGGGTCCTGCCTCTGGGGTGGGGGTGGGGGACGGGCTCTGCTGCCATGCTCATTCTCTCTTCCTCCAATCCAGGCACCTTTAAGCTCCCTTGAGGGCAGACACCATGTGGGTTTCATTTCTGTGCCCTTCATCTCTCCCGGAGCCAAATATAACTTCCCGGGCCTTTGAAAGTCGCAGAAAATCTGTTACCCAAGCCCAGATGGTGATGAGAGACAGAGATGGGGGCAGGGGGGAGGCTGGAGGAAGAACTGTAGTATCTTGCGGGCCTTTACAGTTTTTACGCTGCTTCCAGGATGTCTTCATTCAACAAACATTTATTGAGTGCCTACTAAGTACCGGGACCTATGTACCAGGTAGAGGGTTGGCGACGCAGGGTGAATAACAGCCCACCTTCCTAAGAGCACTGCTGGGGAGACTGGAAGAAGTGGCCGAGACCAGGTGCTTTGCCTCCTTTGGGCCGGGAACAAGCCTTTGTCTTGGGGGCTTCTGCTGGTGCCCCTCACCCCCTTCACAGCATCACAGACCAGGAGGCTGAGCGTTCGGAGGTCACATTGTTTGCTAAGGGTCCTGCTCTTAGGTCAAAGGTAGGGGAGTTAGGGACCCAGCTGAGGGGAGAAGGAAGAAGCCTGGCCAGGGGGTGACAAAGGGGGCTGAAGCTCATATACAGCCACCTCCCCTCTGTCCAGTCCATCCAACCTTGGGGCACCTCCCTTCCGGGGCTCTCAGCTTACTGTACCTGGACTCTGCCTGGAGAGGCTAGGGGTCGGAGGGCTGGGGGAGGGGATGCCCTCTCCCTCGTCTGTGAGGCCTGCCCTTCACCCAGCATAGCCTCCGCTAGCCCTCCCCACCAGCCTGGAGGAGCAGGGCCCGGCCGGGTGGGAGGATGTGCTGCCTGCTCCAGCCTCTGACCACTGCATCGGGCAGTCAGGCTGCAGTTTTCAGCCATAGAAGGGCAACGACTTGGGCGGTGCACCCAGGAGGCTGCCAGCAAGAAGGCTGGGCTGCCTCCACCGGTTTCAGCCACTCTAGCAGCCTGGAGCCGGGAGGGGGCGAGGGGGATGGATAAAGCCGGCAGGCTGGCCAGCTGTCCCCTCCAGGGTCCCCCAGGCCGGCCCTGCTGCCTCTCACCTGTCTCAGCTTAGAAACTGGGAAAGCCTTCGCCGCTCCCCCAGGAGACAGGGCCCCGGAGTGGCCCAGCACGCAGCCAGCTGGTCGGTCAGTGCCTGCCAGCCGCTCTGGAGGCTGTTCTGTTTCCAGCCCAGTTCAGACCTGTTCTGGTCCTGGCCCCGTTAAGAAGCGGCCATCCTCGGACTGGGCTGGGATTCAGCGTGTTGGAGTAGCTTCTCCAGGTTTGAGACGTGCAGTACGAGGACCAGGAACGTGGGTTCCCGGGGCCGGCTGGTTTCCCCTCTGCGGGCCTCAGTGTTCTCGTCTGAAACGGGGTAAACGCCAGCCAGGCAGAGTTGAAAACAATGTAAATTCAAGACAGGAGCTCCGCACAGCACTGGTGCGAGGTCCTCGATCCACGGATGTCCCTGTTTCTACAAGTATTTGTCCTGGGCTGACAGGATGTGGCTTCCTGGGGAAGGGCATCCTGATTGGCAGTGAGGTCAGGGATCTTCAGCCTGGAAGCTTGCACGTGAGCCCTACCCCTTCGAGTGATTTGCGTCCTCCGCGTGGGTGCCAGGAGCTCAGCCTGTGCCCCCACCGGAAGGCCCAGTCCTCCAGGCCTGTGCTGTTGCCTCAGTTTCCTCCTGGCCAGTCCACAGACCCCTCCCCTTGGGATGAGGTCACCCCGCCTGCCCCTGCCTTTGTCCAGTCACCTCGTCAGTGCTCCTCCTCCTCTTTGCCTCTTGCAGAGATTTTGATTCACTTTCCAAGGACAATGTCTTCGAGAATAACCGTTTGGTGAGTCCTCAGACAGATGAAAGCACAAGAGGCTGTGGGGCTGGGCTGGGGGTGGGTAAGGGTCTTCTAGGGCAGGAGCTGTGGGAAGGGCTGCCTTGCACTGGGGCCCTGGCTGCTCCTTTCCCCACCCCTGCTTCCCTCTGGCCTGCTTGTCCCTGGAGCACCAGGCCATCATGTGAGTTCAGAGCTGAGGGGAGCCCATGCCCACCCCTGCCCTGGTACCCCTCATCCCACTGACGGGCGCCCACTAACCCTGCCTCCTCCCCCACCCCTGCACCTGTTCCCACCCAGGCCTTTGAAGTGGCCGAGAAGGAGCTGGGCATCCCTGCTCTACTGGACCCCAATGACATGGTCTCCATGAGGGTCCCCGACTGCCTCAGCATCATGACCTACGTGTCCCAGTATTACAACCACTTCGCCAGCCATGGCCAAGGTGAGAGGGGGCAGCCCTCAGGGAGACTGGCCCTGGGGCTGGGGCTGGGGCTGGGGCTGGGGATGGTTGGTAGTTTTCTGCACTGCAAACAGGCAGCTGGGGAGGCAGCCCATCATCCATTCACTGGATCGTTCGTTCACTCATTGAAATGCCCTTTGCTGGGTGAAACAGCATGTGCTGGGGTATAGCTGTGACCAGGTCTCTGCCCCCCGGAGCGCCCAGTCTGGTGGTGGGGACAGATAACAAACACAGCAACCCATAACTGAGCAAAATAATATGAGAGGAGACAAAGCGGGTGGGTGGGGGGTGGGGGTGGGGGCTTCCCGCTGTCTGAGTTCACCTCTCTGCACCCACCCCACTTCCTGTTAGCAGACACTTCCCTGGGGTTTTTCCTGCAGCAGGGAAGTGGCCCTGTGGGCTGTTGTGCAGCATCTTCCCCAGAAGTGACCTTCAGGGCCCGAGAACTGGGAGGCTGGGGAGTTGGGGGTTCCCCGGGGTACAAGGGTACTTCTCTGCTCTGAGTCAGGTCACTGCAGCGGCGACAGAGCCTCCTGCCTGGAAAATCCCCACGCAGGAATCTCCTGTGGCAACTGGCCAGAGAGGGGAAGCAAGGAGCCCAAGGTCACACAGCAGGGAAGCAGAGAGGCTGGGTGGAGGATACAAGTGTCCGGACTCCTGCTCTGGGTCACTTCTGGGTCCTGAGTCGGAGCGGGAAGGGGCTGCGGGGAGGGGGCGCCTTGCCCCTGCCCTGCCCGCTTTCAGCCCCGCCTCCTGTCTGCTGTCCGTGTGGACAATCCCAGCCCATCGTTAAAGAAGTGTCTGGAAAGTCAGGTCTTTTTTTTCCTTTTTAAAAGTAAAGCATGTTTACTGTAGACAATTCAGGACACAGAAAAGGACATCAAAATTAAAATAATCTGTTGCTCCCCTTCCCGAGATATTGCTAGGGATGAATATTATACTCGAACAAATAGCATGGTATGTATTTTAGTAGAAATCAACTTAAAAAGATTTCTTCACCACTGAGTCGTTGGTGAGAGGCACATAGGGTGGAAATTAAGAGCGTGGACTCCAAACGTTTTAGCTGCCATTTACTCTCTGGGTGACAGTAGGCCACCACAGACACCTCTCTGCCTCAGTTTCCCCTGGCGATGGAGGTAAGAATAGCGCCCACGTCGCAGGGTTGATGTGAGGAGTAAACGAGGAAACGTAAACCTGCGTGCGGCTCTTATTTAGGACCCAAGGTCAGTGTCATTATGACGTCTTTGTTCCGTTGGTTAGAACTTAGCTTCCCTACCTAGAATCACAACTTGGTCCTGTGTTCTGGAAGGTTTCCTGTCGAAACCCCCAGGCTCGCTCTACTGAGCTCTTCTTCTGGGGAGCTGTGGGGTGGGTGGTTGATTTTGCCCTGGGTCCTCACCGGGCATCCTGGGGTGAGGGCGCCCCAGGGGCCCAGCTCCCTGAGCGGTGCCTGGGCCTGCGGGGATGCTGTTGCTAGAAGCACAGCTTGTACTTTTCCTATAACTTGGCCCCAAAATCAAACCATTTTTATCCCACCTGCTGCTCGACCAGAGGAAACCCAGCGCTGTGTGCCAACCCTGGAGGCAAAGCTGGCTGTCAGACTCCCCCAGATGGGCCCGTGCTGTACTTTCTGGGCGAATGGGGGGGATTTCAATGCAGCTTTTGACTGGACTGGACTCTCACCCGGCTGGGCAACCTTGAACCCGGCCCTGGCTGAGACACTGAAGTTCCGTGCTGAGTGCTCAGCTGTGCCAGGCTCTGTGGGTGCCAGTGACCCTGGGCACATCAGCTGCCCCCTGACCTCCAGGACCCACAGCCTGGTCTGGAGCCAGTATATGAGTCCAGGACGCCCAGCGTCTGGGAAGTCGGAGGAGGGGTTCCAGCCCACAGGGTGGCAAAGGCAGGTCATCAGGAGAAAGTCCAGCTTCTCAGTGGGCCCTGAGGTCCTCCCCACGCTTAGCCTGAGCCACTCGCTGCCCCAGTCTCTCGTGCTTCTTGAACACCGCACATTCTTTTTGTTTTTTAATGTTTTTATTGACTCATGAGAGAGAAGGGGAGAGGGATAGAGAGAGAAACACCATCAATCGGCTGCCTCCTGCACACCGAGCCTGCAACTGGGGCATGTGCCCTGACCGGGAATGGAACCTGTGACCTCCTGGCTCATGGGTCAGCGCCCAGCCCTGAGCCACCAGCCTGCACACATCACGTCTGGTGCTGCTAAGTCTTTCTTCGTGGTGATCCTCCGGCCCCAAACCCCATTGTCTGTTCCATCTCTTCCACCCCCAGCTTTCCAACTGATCCTTTAATCTTCACATTCTGCCTCTGAGCAGCCTGCCCGGCTTTACCTACTCCAGGTGCTCCTGTCGCCCCTGCCCCCTGTTCAACACAAGACTGTGGCCACAATATCGCGACGGCTCCTCTCTGTCCCCTGCAGACCGTCTCTATTCACAGCCGTAGAGCTCCCGCACTTTTTGTGTAACATATCTATGGAGTGCCTACTGTGTGCCAGGCACTGTGCTAGGGAGAGAGCTGAGAATGAAACAGACTCACAGAGCTTGCAGTCTAATGGATGAAGGGCGGGTGAGAGGGGAGAGAGAGAGAGGTAATAAGTGACATAATGTTAGTCCAATAAGGAAACAAAGTAAGGTAATGGGATGAAAGCGATGGGGATAGGAAGTGGTCAGGGAGGCCCTCTCGGAGGAGGTGACATTTGAGTAAGCCTTGAACAAGGAGGAGAAGGAGGCCATGTGAAGATCTGGGGAGGAATGTTCAGGCAGGAGGGCACAGGCTTCCAAAATTTTTTACCACGATTCATGGTAAGAAACACAGTTCCCATCACCATCTGAGTTCATGCACACACATGTAACTGAAACAAGTTTCAGGAAACGATTCTTCCCCTTACACATGTGATGCACACAGACACTTTCTATTCTGTTTCATCTTTTTTGTTGTTAATCTTCACCACCAGAGGATATTTTTCCATTGATTGTTAGGGAGAGTGGAAGGGAGAGGGAAAGACAGAGAGAAACATCGATGTGAGAGGAACACACACCCATTGGTTGCCTTCTGCACTAGCCCCAGCCAGGGCCGGGGAGGAGCCTGCAACCGAGGTGCGTGCCCTTGACTGGAATCGAACCCGGGACCCTTCGTTCCACAGGCCGACACTTTTTCCACTGCGCCAAACTGGCTAGGGTTTTTTTATATATACTTTTATTGATTTCAGAGAGGAAGAGAGAGGGAGAGAGATATAGAAACATCAGTGATGAGAGAGAATCATCGATCGGCTGCCTCCCACATGCCCTACACTGGGAATCAAGCCCGAAATCCAGGGAATCGAACCCTGATCTTCTGGTTCATAGGTCGACGCTCATTGAGCCACACCAGCCAGGCTGTTTCATCTTTGAAATGTGCCTATTGCAGTCCACAGAATTGATTTCAGGGTCCATTAATGGACGGTGACCTGAAGTTTGGTCATTTTAGACCACAGTAAGGAGCTTGGGTCTTTTTAAAATTGTCATATAGTAAAATGGACTTTTTAATACAGTTCTCTGAATTGGGGGTGTTTATGTCAATCCCTGGGTACAAAGTGGGTGCTTAGTGAATATTTGCTGAAGGAATGAAGGAGGAGATGTTGGAGGAGGCTGGGTGGGGTGGGTGGCTTTCTCTGGTGTGAGGGACAGCAGGCAGGTTCTGGGCCGCGGCTGTCCGCGGGGGCGTCGGTAGGGCAGCTCCGTGGTGGCCCCAGGGAGCCAGCCCTGTTCCTGATCGGCCAGCACCGTGTGGTTCCCCTCTTTTCCTTCCCTCCAGCCCCAGTGCCCTGGGGAGCGGGAGGAAGCTCCCCGTCCTGCCATGGGCTGGGCACTGTTAGTTCTGTGATTGTGCGATTGCCTCTATGCACACGACCCCTGGGCGAGCAGCTTGCATTCGGGACTTAGCTTGGACGCGGAGGTGTCCGCTGGCCGGTGTGAAGGGGGAGCCTGCTCTGGTCCCGCTGCACTGGGACCGAAGGTGATGTCTGCGGAGCTCAAACCTTCGGCCAGGTTGCGGCCGCCTGGCAGCCCAGTGTCTCCACCTGCCTCAGGCCTGTTTTCCGTCCCGTTGCAGCCGGTGTCTCACCGCCCGGAAAGGGCGTGTCGCCCTCCTCCCCGCCATCCACTCCAGTGGAACCAGCAGAGCGGGCTCAGGTAGGCAGATGCCTGGGTGGGCGGGTGGGCGGGGGAGAGGGTCGGTGGGCAGGGACAGCGGGCATTGCAGGTTCAGAGGACACTTGGACCTTTCCCGCTGGCTTTGGGCGTGGAGCCTCACAGGCCAGGCCTGGGAGGGGGCACAGGGCAGCCCACAGCACTGACCGCCACGTTGGGCCTGACGGGATTTAATACACTCGCTGGCGAGACAGCTTTTCAGCTCCCTGATGGTTCTGTTTAACCCTCTAACAACCCTGGAGGTGGCTATTATGTGTCCTGATATACAGATGAGAAAACCGAGGCTCAGACAGGCTGGCTCAAGGTCACAGAGCTTAGAAGGAGAGAAACTGGGAGTTAAGTCCACTGGGGCTCTCGGAGGGAGGCAGGGATGACAGGCCAGGGCAGTCACCCCGGGGCAGCCTGCAGGGTAAGAGCCGCCGAGGGGAGGGGTCAGACAGCAGGAGCCGCCCTTCTGGTGGGGAAGCCCAGGCTCTGGACGTCAGGACGGGCATGTCTCCATCCTGACCCAGGGACGCTTCGCCCTCTCTGGGCTGTAGTTTCCTGGCACCCTGTCCCCCTCCAGGGCTCTGCCAAAGCACGTTAGTACTCGGCAGGTGTCCGCAGTGCACGTGGGGGGCAGCGGCCATTAGAGGGACTAGGATGGCTGGTGACCGTGCCCCCACCCCCAATCTGCCCGCCCTGTTCCCTGCAGGGCGAGGAGCTCGCCTCAGGTCACCTGTCGGAGCAGGGCGCCCACCGGACCCCCAGCAGCGTGTGCGCAGCCTGCGGGCAGCACGTGCACCTGGTGCAGCGGTACCTGGCCGAGGGCAAGCTGTACCACCGGCACTGCTTCCGGTGAGTGGCGGGGCCTGGCTGGGCCTCGACCCCAGCACCCAGTAGCAGGGAGGGAACTTCCGTGGTTCAGCATCACAGTGGGGGGCACCTTGGTGGGCTCTTCTTACGGAGCATCCTGCTTGTCTCCATTTCCTGGGGAGCAACTAAGGCCTCCGAGGGGAGACCTGCTCATCGCGTCATTAGAGGCCGGAGCGGGCTGGAGCCCAGGGTTCTGCCCGGGCGGCGCTCTTGGAGGTGAACCGCCCATGATGTTTTAGGACAGTGGTCGGCAAACCCCGGCTCATGAGCCACATGCGGCTCTTTGGCCCCTTGAGTGTGTCTCTTCCACAAAATACCACGTGCGGGCGTGCACGTACAGTGCGATTGAAACTTCGTGGCCCATGCGCAGAAGTCGGTTGGTGGAAAGGAGATGGACGAAACAAGTATAAAGACCAGTGTGGATGGGAGAGTTGGAAGGGGTCGACCTCAGCGAATGTACCTCAATCAGATTGAGGACGTTTTTAGCAAAGGCCAGCTTAGGAGCACCCTCATTAAGTGAATAACAGTGTACCTGCCTGTATAGTTAAGTTTAAAAAATTCGGCTCTCAAAAGAAATGTCAATCGTGCTGTTGATATTTGGCTCTGTTTACTGATGAGTTTGCCGACCACTGCGTTAGGAGCACAATCTGCTTTAAGGCCACTGGGGAGAAAGGGTTTTAAAATGTCACAATAAAAACTTGCTTTCTGTGTACCGCTCCCAGTGGAAGCCAGGTTTAAAGAGAATGGACTAAGAGGCAGGGAAAATACAAATAATTTAGAAAATATACGATACAAGAGAGAAATCAGGAAAGGAAATTGAAGAGTCAAGGGAGCTGGTGATTGACAGTTGCCGAATGCTCTGTGTGTGCGCGCGCGCACGCATGTGTGTGTGTGTGTGTGTGTGTGTGTGTGGTGTGTGTGTGTATGTGTGTCTGTGTGGTATGTGTGGGGGGTGTGTATGTGTGTGTAGTAGGTATCTATGTGGTGTGTGTGTGTGTGTGTGTGTGTGGTGTCTATGTGGTGTGTGTGTGTGTGTGGTGTGTGTGTGTGTGTGTGGGGGGTGTGTGTGTGGTGTGTGTGTGTGTGTGTGTGTGGGGTGTGTGTGTGTGGTGTGTGTGTGGGGGGTGTGTGTGTGTGGTGTGTGTGTGGTGTGTGTGTGTGTGGGGTGTGTGTGTGTGGTGTGTGTGTGGGGGGTGTGTGTGTGTGGTGTGTGTGTGGTGTGTGTGTGTGTGGGGTGTGTGTGTGTGGTGTGTGTGTGGGGGGTGTGTGTGTGTGGTGTGTGTGTGGTGTGTGTGTGTGTGGGGTGTGTGTGTGTGGTGTGTGTGTGGGGGGTGTGTGTGTGTGGTGTGTGTGGCGGCTGCACCTGGAACCTGTGACCTGACAGCAGGACTGAGGGTCATGGGGGGAACACTCGGGGAGCCATCACACCCACGTCAGGGCAGTGTTTATAAACTTTTTACAGCGCCCCTTCCTCCCCCCGCCCCCTCAGTAAGAAACCCACTTGACACTGTGACCAGGTGTGAACACATACCTGAAGTAAAGCTTGTATAAGTGGAGGCACAACTGGAATAAGAGTCAGTGCGACCCACTCTGACACGTATTCAGTGCCGTTTTCTTCTATCCAAAAAACAACAAAACAGCCCTGACCGGTTTGGCTCAGTGGATAGAGCGTCGGCCACGGACTGAAGGGTCCCAGGTTCGATTTTGGTCAAGGGCATGTACCTTGGTTGCGGGCACATCCCCAGTGGGGAGTGTGCAGGAGGCAGCTGATTGATGTGTCTCTCTCATCGATGTTTCTAACTCTCTATTCCTCTTCCTTCCTCTCTGTTAAAAAATCAATAAAATATATTTAAAAAAACACAAAACAAAAAAAACCCACACACAACAAAACAAACAGCCTGCTGGCTGAGAACGACGGAGTCCGTCCTGAGGCCTAATGGCGGTCGCGCTCACTGGACGGTCCCTCTGGGGGAAACGTTGCTTCCTCTTGCAGCACAAACTGAATATGTTTCACAATTCCTGTTGCTGATTTCACGTGGTTTTATTGTTCTGCTGCGATCCTGACAGTTACCATTTTCCTTTTCCTCTGGGAAGTCCAGGGCATTGAGACAGGATCCGGCTGACATTTGGGAGGGGGGTAGGGAAGGGCCTTGGTGCTGGAGGAGGGGCGGCCGCTCGCTGGGCCGGGCTGCCTGGTCCAGTTCAACACCATCCCCTTCTCCCTGCAGGTGTCGGCAGTGCTCCAGCACCCTCCTCCCCGGGGCCTACCGGGCTGGGCCTGAGGAGGGCACCTTCGTGTGTGCGGAGCACTGTCCCAGGCTGGGCCCGGGTGGGCGGGGGGCCAAGCCCCGGTCCCCACCACAGCCAGAGCGGCAGCCAGAAGAAGGAAAGGAAGCTGCAGAAGAAGCCAAGGATGTGGAGGGAGGCGGCCCCAGCCCTAGGGCGGCTGCAGCGGCTGAGGCCCGGCCCCAGGTCCCCACCAAGCCCTGCATTCTGGACAAACCACAGGGTCTGGCCAGCCCCCAGGCCGGCCGCCCCATGCCCGCCCCCAGGAAGACCTTGGAGAGCACAGCCCCAGCGCCCTCCGTGCCCCCGACGCCCGCTGTGCCCCCGACGCCCCGGCCCCGGTCCAGCCTGCAGCCTGAGAACTCGGTGGAGCAGGGAGGCGGCAGCCTGGTGAACGGTGAGCAGGGTCCCCCTGGGATGGCACTCGCTGGGAATGTGTGGTGATTGAATGGACACGTGCCCTGGGCGTGTTGCTGGGGCCTGTGTCTGTGTGTGTGTGTGATTGTGTTTCCAAGGTCATTCACGCCACAAACTGACTGAGGCCGCGGGCACAGCTCGAACAAAGCAGATGCATGCAGATGGCACCCCAGGCTGCCCATGCTGTGTGTTGGGGTGTTTGTGTTCTTCTTTCGGTCTCGTGTGCTTCAGTTTCGGGGTGTCGAGCAAGTGCGCACGGTGTGTGTCTGTGTGCCGACTGCATCCGGGACTCTGTGTGCCTGGCCAGTTTACATACTCCATCTCACGCCCAGCCCATGTCCTTGTCCGATGTCTGACCGGGCAGTGCTCAGGGGCGGGGACAGGCCCGGGTGTGTCCCTGGTCAGGTGGGCCCCGGGGGGCTCTGTTCAAGGCCCTGATGGCAGGACTTTCCCAGATGACCTGCCTGGCTCTGTGAGTTCATGCAGGCAGGGCTCCTGGGCACCTCTGATGTGCTGGGCGACCCTCTCACCTGCTCAGGGAAGGGGGTCAGGTGAGGAGGGCCCGTGGGTCTGGGGCAGAGGCTCCCTATGGCTGTCGGTTCTGTTCTGAGCTGGGCACTGGGACAGAGATGGTGCTCACCTGTGTGTGCCTTTGTGGTGTAGCCAGTCTCCGGGGGGACCGGGCACAGGTGGGTTAGTAGAGCCTGAAGTCTGTTAGGAGGGGCAGCGGGGCTGCTGTGGGTTCATGGAGGCCTCCAGGAGGAGGTGGTGCTGGGTGCGTGGAGACCTTTCCCGTCCACACAGGGGCAGTGTCTGAGGGCACTGGGTCCCCCTTCCCAACTGAAATGCAAATGTCCTTTCCCTTCGACCTACTCTGCCTGTCCCCTCTGGGGCTTATCTAATCTCCCTGAGCCCTGGGGTGGGAGGTGCGAGTGTGCAGTGAGGTTGCCATGACCACCTGGATTCCGTGACCTGCCAGGTAGGAAGGAAGGGCAGTCCGTGGTGAGGCGGTCACTCTGGCTGGCAACCCGGCTGCCCCACCGCGCTGCCCAGCCCACAGCGGCCATGAAGGCCTGCCTCACCCTCCTTTCCCATCTAGGAAGGCTGCACGAGCCCCCCGTCCCCAAGCCGAGAGGGACGCCCAAGCTGTCAGAGAGGTACGCCGGCCCTGGGAGGCTCTCAGGCCCTGGTGGTGGGATGGGGGGCTCCCGGGACCTGTGGGGAGGCACAGGACCCACTCTATACCCCCCAAGCATGGGCAGGGTTCATCTCTGGGTGGGGAAGGAGTGCTGTGCCCACATTCCTTCCCCCGAGGCTCCCTGGGGGCCCCTGACCTGTGGGCAGCGGTGCCAGGTGGAGTCACCCACCTCTGCAGTCCCCTTGCCTCCCCTCGCCTCTGCTGCCTTTGTGACGGGGGCGGCCTGGGCTGGCTCGCTGAGCTGGGAGGATTGGCAGGCAGGT